TAGTGAGGTTGGCCCAGGATCTGGCAGTGTTTCATTCTGCTGTACATAAGGTCACTATGGGTCAGTACCGACTCGAGGGCACCTAACAACAACAACAACAAGTGCTCAGGCACAACAGACCACTGTTTACCAGATACTGAGCGTGGGCAAGGCAGTACTCAATGTCTCACATACAGCTGCTTCCCTGTTTCCATCTTGCATCCACCCTGGGAAGTAGCTGGTATATATTATTATAAAGACTCATGTTACAAAAGAGGAGGCTGAGGCTGGCAGCTTGATCAAAAAGATAAGGGGCAGGGTGAGGTTTCCAACCCAGGTTTGTCAGACTCTAAAACAGGGTAGGCAGGGAGGCTTTGCAGGGCCCTTTGTTGTGGCCTATAATCTGCACAGCCAGAGGACTTGATATGGGTTTCTTGGCCTCTGCTGACAGGAACCTGTTTGGAAACTTCAGGAACTTTGGGGCAGGTGCAAGGAAGCTGGAATATCAGTGGAGAGGTTGGCCATGGGAGGTACAGGCAGAACAGCTGGGCCCCAGGGAGAGCTCTCTTCCCTCAGGAGGAAGAGAGAAGGCCTCAGTCAGGAACTTTTAGAGGATCAGATAGAAATGGTTTGGCCTGGGAGGAGAAATTGCTGAAGATGACTTTTGCATCCACTGGAGTTGACCAGGAATAGAGGTGGGTCTTCTCCAAGGTGAGGAGGCTCCCTCTGCTGGAAATATTCTCTGACCAGAGGCACAGGTCTTACTGCCTAGCCCAGAGTTTATTGTCTGGTCCTGAAGGTTATTCCTGGACGCTTGTAGGCTTGTAGAAAGAATGCCAACAGGTTGGCGGTGGAAGAGAGAGATTCTGAGAACCAGGGAGACCCCAGCGATGGGCAGAGGCCCAAGCTGCAGTGGGAAGAACACAGACTTTGGGATCTTATAGTCCGGGGCTCCAAAGTCCACTTTGCCACTTATCTGCTGTTGACATTGGGAAAATTGTTTAACCTCACAGCCTTCATTTCGCCCACTGTAAAACTGGAGAATTATGGGGATTAAAGACAATAATAATGAGGTCAGACATATACTAATGGCTGCATGATCTCCTTTTATTTTCATAACAGTTGTATGGAAAGCATGCTTACTATTACCTCTGATCTGCACACAGTAACTTTTTCTTTTATTTTTTTCTTAACTTTTTATTGTGAATTAGGTAAAAAAGGTTTACAGAGCAAATCAGTTTTACATTCAGCAATTCCCACACATTTTGTTTCATGTTATTGATTGCAATTTCCACAATGTAACATCACTTATTCTGTTTCCTCTAGGTTTTTCCATTTCCATTCCTCCTCCTTTCCCAGTCCTGAACTCTGTCCATGGGCAAATACTGCCCTTTTGATCTCAAATGGTTGATTTTTCTAAGGAGTGTGTTCCATGTTATTGTACCCCTTAAGGATCTGTCTGGACTCGTAGTGTGGTGCTGTAGGATCAGCAATGGACTCTGAACCACTAGGTCATCAGTTCAAACCTACCAGTTGCTCCTCAGAAACCCTAAACAGGGTCCTATGAGTTGGAACTGACTCAATGGCACTTAACAACAGCAACAAATATCTGTCTATTATTAGCCTATAAACTGAGCCAATGGTGTGTGTGTTCCCCTATTCGAAGAATAGATTTCATCTTTAAAAATTAGATGCATATAATTTAAAAAGTCAAAACCTGTGCAGAATATCTCCAAATAATTTATGTAGCTCCTCCACCCTTATATAGATACTCCCCACTCCCTAAATGTAAGCTCTGTGTAGTGACTTTCAAAGAATAAAAGAAAGCTTTAAAAAGTTTATGGGTAGAAAAATGGAATTGAAAGATAATGGATTTTTTTTTCCTTGAACTTTTTGAAGACCCCTTGTATCATATTAAAAGTGGGAGGGGGGTGAAGAGTGACTTTATAGTGCAGAAATCGGACAGACATTACCTCAGTAAGGTGGTCAAAGCCAACCTCAACTATCAGACAGCATTCTGGATAGCACACAATCTTGATATCTTGATATGATGGGATGGAAATGGTACCTTACTTCTTCTTTCCAAAACCTATAACCATAGTGTTATCATGAGAAAAACATCAGCTAAATCCCAACTGAGGGACATTCTATAAATATCTGACCCATTCTCCTCAAAACTACCAAGGTCTCCCCAAAACAGGAAAGTCTGAGAAAACCATCACAGCCAAAAGGAGCCTAATGGGACTTGAGAAGTAAATGTAATGTGATGTCCTGGATGCGATCTGGAACACAGGGAGCACAGTGGCTAAAAACTAAGGAAACCTGAATAAAGTGTGGGAGTTTTTTGGTTGGTTTATTTAGTTGATAATAATGTATTGATTCACTGGTGGTGGTGGTTGTGTGCTATGGAGTCAGTTCTGACTCATAGTGACCCTGTATAGGGTTTCCAAGGCTGTGTATTTTTACAGGAGCAGAAAACCTCATTTTTCTCCCACAGAGCAACTGGTAAATTCAAACTACTGACTTTGCAATTAGCAGCCCAGCTCATAATCCACTATGCTGCCAGGACTCTTAAATGTATGACTTGTTAAGTGCCATCAAGTCAGTTCTGACTCATAGCGACCCTATATAGGGCTTCCAAGGAGCAATTAGTGGGTTTGAACTGCCAACCTTGTGGTTAGCTGTCCAGTGAATATCCTACAGTCCCACACCAAAACTCTTATTGGTTCATTAGTTGTAACAAATGCATTATACTACTTTTGTTGTTGTTGTTGTTAAGGGCCGTCGAGTAAGTTCTGACCCATAGAGACCCTATATAGGGTTTCCAAGGAGGAGCTGGTGAGCTTGAACTGCCAACCTGTGGTTCAAACCAACTTTGCAGTCTACCACATTAATCCACAGTGCCACACCAGGACTAATCGAAGATGTTTTTAATGGGGACTCTGGGTATGAAGTAAATGGGAACTCTCAGGACTATATTGTTGTTAAGTGCTGTCAAGTCGATTCTGACTCAAAGCCATCCTATATACAGTTTCTAGGAAGCAGCTGGTGTTGAACTGCCGACCTTGTGGTTCGCAGTCCACAGTTTTTCTATAAATGCCGAACGGTTCTAAAAAAAAATTTAGAATTTTTTTTTTTAAGTCAAAAGATTATTCAGTAAAAAGTCTCCATCCTAACAGTCCTCTTCCTCAGAGAAATCTGTTGCATTTCTTTGTAGGGATATTCCATTGAAGCAATATGCTTAGTGTTAAGTCTGGACTCCACAACTGTTCGGCTGTGTGGGGGTCTTGTTCTCTGCCACTTGCTAGCTGTGTGCCTTTGGTCAATTCCTTAACCTCTCTATGCCTTGTGTCTTCAAAGAAAAAAGCCTCATAGAATTATTGGGAGGGTTAAAAGTTAATATATACAGTAAGCATCTTCTTAGTGGTATGACACTGTAGGATAAACACCAAACTGCAAGGTAGCCGGTCAAACCCAACAGCCACTCCTCAAAAACCCTACACAGGGTCGTTATGCATTGGAACCAACTTGATGCACTTAATAATAACATTATTATTGAGTATACAATCAACTATATTTATGTAGGGAGCACGATGGCTCCATGTGGTATTGCAGGATAATGCACTGAACTGCAATGTGGGTTTGAACCACAAGATCTACAGTTCAGACTCACCAGCCAATCCTCGGAAAACCTATATAGGGTCGCTATGAGTCAGAACTGACTCAACAGCACTTAACAACAACAACAACAACATAAACCACAGGGTTGGTGTTCGAATTGATCTGTTGCTCCATGGGAGAAAGATGAGGCTTTCTGCTCCCACAAAGATTTTTAATGTTTTATTGTGAATTATGTGATAGTTTACATGGGAGAACATTGGCCTTACATTCATCCTATTGTATATCATTTCGTTGCCATGGTTACAGTCCCCTCCATGCATCATTAACCAACCAAAAGGTATACCCCCCGCAAGCCTGACCCCTGGTCATCAGCACACAGCCCCTCTCCCTCTCTGGGTTTAGAGTCCCCAGCTGCTCCATCTCGCTGCCTCCGTCTCTGGCGTCACTGCTTCTCTGGGTAGGGTCCCTGCTCTCAGCTCTTTTCCCTTGAAGGTCCCAGGAACCTCCACTTCTAGACTGCAAAGTTAATCACTTCCCTCCTTCTGCTACAAAATGTCTACCTTTGCATTTCCAGCCCTCACAGTCAGTCCTGATAACAATTATTGACTGTTGTATCACAAGAGACCTATCTGCATTTCATTTCATCAGATCTGCCCAGACAGCCCCTACTTAGTGGAGATTCTACCTTCCTCCATGCCCTCTGGATCTAGGTTCCCTCTTGAAAGCTTGTTGCCTTTGTAGCCCCTCCATTTTGGGGAGCCAATGTCCAAGTTGCCCATCCCTGTCTACTCTGTCCCACAAAGATTTAAAAGCCTTGGAAACCCTATACAGGGTCTCTATGAGTCGGAACCAACTTGATGGCACTTAACAACAATATATTTATGTTACAAATGTGTTAAGAAAATAAAATCCAAAACTTGGTGGCTCTGTAGGATAAACACTGGACTACGAACCACGTGGTTGGAGGTTTGAGCCCACCAGTCAGTCGCCTCTTGAAAGAAAGATGAAGCTTTCTGCTCCTGGAAAGGTTTACAGCCTCAGAATCCCTATACAGCGTTGCTGTGAGTTGGAACTCAATGGCACTTAAGAACAGCATGATTTTATTGCTAGGTAGGAATTCACTTTTTTGTGTCAAACTCTGTAATCTTATTCTAGTATTCTTTTTTTTTCACTAACTGTAAACAAGTACTCTATATTTGTATGAAATATAAATATTTTATCTTTTTGAAAACTGTACTTTGACAAATGACAGCACTTCACACATGTGGTTCTACCCCTTGGTTATGTTCATTTAATGCATCTTGAAGATAGTGTCATGTCAGAACATAAAAAGCTTCCTTAATCAGTCTAGTCTGGCCCCTCTTGATGGACATTCAGGTCATTTTTTTTTTTACCCTTACTGTTGCAAACAATGGTGCCACGAACAACCAGATTCCTTCGAGCAGGGGTAGATGGGAAGGCAGAAGGACACTCTAGAAAGGACAAGACCCTAAGGGAAGAGGCCTCAGTGACTGCTCCCAGCTAAGCCTGGCTCTGTGCACACCTGGCCTCCTCTGGCCTCTTCTCTCCATCTTGAACTCCTGGTAGTACCAGACAGGAAGGACCAGCCTGTGATGTCCCACAGGCTTGGGTTCTTGCTTGCTCTGGCTAAGGGAGAAAAGGATCTTGGGAGCTTGGGGTCTGGGGCTGGTGCTGTCCCTAAGCCGTAGCCACTGAGGACACAGGCTCAACATGCCCTGAGAGGGGGACAAGGACCCATGGACTAGGGGCAACTGGAGAGGACTGGGTGGCCAGGGGAGGAAGTGGACTGTACCTAGCAGCGCTGGCACTGACACACTTGAGGTGCCCAGGACAGGTGGGTGGTCAGGGCACAGGGTGTGGCAGGCAGTGGTCAGGAAGGGACTGGCCAGGCTGGTTGTGATGGTCACAAGGTGATCCATGACACCCCCTCCACAGAAGAATGGGGGGAGGGGGGACTCAAGGTGGCCAGCAATCTTTCTAGCAGGGATGGGGCAGTCTGGGCCTGGGCCATGGGCTTGGTCAAGGCTGGCCACTCAGGCTGGTAATCCTGGCTGAGCTGCTCCACTTGGGGCCGCCGCTGCAGCTGCTAGATCTGCTGGACAGTGTTGAAGCTGTTGGTCAGCACCACCCGCTCCAGGGCTATCTTGCCCCAAGCAGGGTCCACTGCTGTCAGGTCTGCACCTAGGAAGGGGCACAGAGTGGGACAAGGACTGGTGTTGTATAGAAGGACAGACTCTTTAGGAGCAGGACTGAGTTGGGTTAAATTCATAACCATAGATTTTGTTGAAGCCAGAATCCAAGAGGCCAGAACTGTAACCCCCTCACTAGGAGGCAAAGAAATTGAAGTCAGAGAAGGAAGAAACTTCAGAAAGACCCTTCAGAGGGTCTCCAAGCCTGGGGCACATAAGGGCCTTCCTGAATCCAAGGAAATCACCTGAGGGGTGGTGTAGAGTGGCCTAGGACTGAGGTCCAGTTGAACCCCCAGATAGTTGACTTAAGAGGGTTTCCAGGGATTTTTTTTCCTGGTTCTCCTCATCACCATACCCCTCTAATTCTAGCAGGGGTTAACTCTGAGTCAAAGGACAGATTTCGGGGCTCTTCTCTTCTCTTCCCTTTCCTAGTAGGACAAGGAAGGGGAAAGCTAGAGATGAGGAACCCTCACTTCAGGAAGTAATGAGGGCCCACAACTCCGTGAACAGTTCAGACCTTGTCCCTGAACTCCATGAGATCACACGCCTCGACTACACATCACTTTGTCCCTGGAGCCCTGATTTGTCAGAGCTGGAAGTCACTCCCGAGAAGGCTGCCACCCTCACAACACCAGGACCGGTCAGTTCCTTGGATTCAGGAGGGCCCTCTTGTGCTCCAGGTTTGGAGACTCTCCGAGGGATTCTCTGAAGTCTCTTCTGTCTCTGGCTTCAATTTCTTCACCTCTTAGAAAGGAAGTTTTGGCCTCCTGGATTCTAACTTCAACATGGTAGGCCCCTATGGTTCTGAATCCAACCCAACTCATTGTTAATGGCAGGACCAGATTGTTGTTGTTAGGTGCCATTGAGTTGGTACCAACTCATAGCGACCTTATGCACAGCAGAACAAAACACTGCCCGATCCTGGGCCAACCACACAATTGTTGCCATGCTTGAGTCCATCGATGCTGCCACCTGGCCAATCCATCTCGTTGAGGGTCTTCCTCTTTTTCTCTGACCCTCCACCTTACCAAACATGATATCCTTCTCCAGCGACTTGTCCTTCCTGACAACATGTTCGAAGTATGCAACCCTTTTTTCTAATTTTAAGCTTCAAGACTATCCTCCCATTGGTATTGTAAATAGAGCTCTCAAAGATTGGACTTTGTTGTGAGAAGCCCAAAGCACGCTGTCCTCCAGGAAGTTGTCCTGGATTGTCCTTCTCCAACTTCCAGCTCTCTGCAGCTATAACAAATGACCTAACATTGAAGGGAGGAAGTGGAGGTCACACACCCGATCCAGGTCCACACACCTGCCATGACGGGGGCAGTCACACACTCCACTTGGTGTGACTTCATTAGAGGGGTAAGCCCCCTCTGGTCTCAGCACTCCAGATCCAGGCCCCCATAGTAGTTAAGCAGAAGACTCATCAGGGGCATGTGGCCTGCAGGTCACCAAGGATGGCATGACTCTTTGGGAATGGCACAGTCTGAAGTGGGAATGTCATACAAAGGGCGTGAGGCTATTACTTAGGCTGGATGGGGGTGATGTGGACCAGCAGCCTCATACCTGCTTGGACAGCCAACATGAGGACTGTGTCCCCTTCTTTGTCCTGCTGGTTCACATCAAGGAAAGGACAGTGGCTGAGTAGGGTCACAACATTTGCAAAACCGTTGTAGCAGGCAACCATGAGGCTGTCTGGGGGAGGGGGAATCTAAGCCCCTGCACTTGTGCCTAGAATCTCCCTGGAGTCCCTTGGGCCTGCCAAGCCCACACCTGTTCCAGCTCCTGTGAAAACCCACCCTCACCCACTCCCTTCCTCCTGAGAGCCCAGACACGGAGGTCAACTCCCAAACTGTGCTAGGGAATGAGACCAGGTGGGACACAACTGCCCACCCCTCCTAGAAAATACTGGGGACATCAGCACCCTTCCATCACTGTCTACCTAGGTGGCCTCCTCTAGAGAGATGCCACCATCCAGCAAGGCTTGGAGCTGAGCAGGGTCATTTCGGGCACAGGCCCAGTACAGGGTCTTTAAGTCTGCTGCCTGGGTCAGGGTTCACACTGACCAGGCAAGGTAGTGTCTCAGACACTGCTAGCCCTCCTCCCTCCCCTCTGCCCAGGCCACTTTTCCTCTTCCAGCCTGTGGGCAAGAAGGCTCTGGCCCGCCCTCAGGCAGCCAGCCTCTGTAACACAGAGCAGAGGGGAGATTGTCTTCCTGGGTCCCAGGAGAGGGCCTGGCAGCTGCCAATAGCCCAGCCCTTTGCCCCAGGAACCCTAGTGGTTCAGTGGTTCAGAGCTCCACCTCTAAGGAAAAGCGTTGGAATCCACTAGTTACTCCAGAAGAGAAAGATGTGGCAGTCTGTTTCTGTAAAGATTTGCAGCTTTGGAAACCTATGGGGGAAGTTCTGCTCTGCCCTATCCTGTCGCTATGAGCTAGAATGAGTCCATGACAGTGGGTCTGGTTCTACTTTGGGTTGAGGAAGCCCTGTTGGAGCAGTGGTTAAAGCACTCGACTGCTAACAGAAACAACTGGAGATGGCAATAGGCTTGGATTTTTCCAAGATTTTCTTAGTGGGATATCTCTCCCCATCGACCATGGGAGGACAAGCTGTGGGTGGGTGGCAGGGGGAAGGGTCTTTAAGAAGGTAGGGGACATCCACTATGTAAGTCAGGTACCCAAGGAGATTCAAGAAGTGTTCCTAGACTTCTCTTCCCTAATGAACCTCACCGGGAGCCTGGAGGGTTCTTGTGCATCATTCCTTGCTGGGCCACAACCTGGTCCCCTAGCAACCCCAGACCCTTTGGAGCACACTCACCAGATCTCTAGAGGGGTCTGAAGAAGAATGCAAATAGCAGATGGTGGACATAGGAAAGAGCTGCGGCAAACATCTCCAACTGAGCTGGATCATGCCAGGACAGAAAGTGATGGAGGTTGGGGAGCAGGGCAGGGGCGGGGTCTTTCTCTGGAAGCAGACCTAGACCCGCCCAGATCCTGCCCAGAGAGGGCAGGTCGCTCTCAGAGATGATGACTTTTCTCTTACTACAGTCAGCCTGCTTGGGACACTAGTTGCACCCCAAAACATACCCTTAGAAGACAGAAGGGTCAGAGTCTCTGCTCCCCCCACTCCACAAAAGCCTGCTTTTGGCTTGGTGAAGTTGAAAAGATTCAAGAAAACAGTATATAAACACTTAATAAAATTGAGACTCTCCTAAATTGGAACCGACTGGACAACAGTTAACAACAAAGGAGGCAAGGGCCCTCCATATATGCACACACATACATTCTGGGGAAATTAAAACAAAGAATTGCCAAATTAGGAATATAGAAATTAGATATGTTCAAGTTAAAGAAATTAGTTTGGGCCCTCAGATGTAGTGAATTGAGTCAATGATATCTCTTATCTCCCGCCCACTCACTCTACATGACTCCCAGCATCAGATTATATGACTTCTCTCTTGCTTTATTTTCTTTATTTAGTTTTTTTCTTTCATCCCTGATTCCCAAACCCCATTCTTCTACTTTCCTTTACCAATTGGCACCTGTACATACTTGAAAATGTACATTTGATTGAGAAATGTACTGCTGATTTGTGTTTGTGTTGTATTTTTAACTTATTAGCTGCTTTCAAGTTTCCTCTGACTCATGGAAACCCCATGCTCAACCTGTCTTAGTCTGGGAGCTCCTGTGCTAGAAACCTGTTAAGCATACCAACAAGCCTTCAGAGACAAATGGTAATGGTTGGGCATGAGATACATGGGTGGGAAATCACACTCTGGTCTCCTACCTGTTGCTGTTGTTGTTAAATTAAATGCCGTCAAGTTGCTTCCAACTCATAGCAAGCCTGTACAGGGTTTCTGAGGAGAAGCTGGTGGATTTGAACTGCTGGTCTTGCTGTTCAAATTGACCTTGCAGTCCAGTGCTTATCCTACAGTGCCACACCAAGACTCCTCTCTCCTGCAATGAAGATGGAAAGTCTACTGCCTAACCACCACTGCTTGTTGTTGTTGTTGTTAAGTGCCGTCGAGTCGGTTCCAACCCATAGTGACCCTGTACAGGGTTTCCGAGGCTGTAAATCTTCACGGGAGCAGAAAGCCTCATCTTTCTCCTGCAGAGCAGGTGGTAGTTTCGAAGTGCTGATCTTGAGGTTCGCAGCCTGATTCGTAACCACTACGCTACCAGAGCTCTATGAATTGCTGCTATTTGCTTTTTCACCCAATGCTGCGTTGCTTTATGTACATTGTATTCATTAGGATTGCATATACAAAAGCTGGTCTTCATAGTGTGGTGGCTACCCCAGACTGGCGGCTCAATCTCAATCCAAAACTCCTTGTAATGCTTCTTCTTAATTGCAGAAGCTGCAAATCTAAAACTGCAATTCTCAGAGTCCCTTGAGCTGGGGATCTGTAATTTAGGTTCTGCCAAACACATTCTTGTAAAGCATAAATCTGGAACAAAGTTAACTTTAGAACATCCGTTTTGCTGTCACAGATCATGACAAAAGCAGTGGAGCTCTGTGATGAGCAGCTTTCTGATTCATCAACTTCCTGTAGTAGTGACTGTTGTTTTCCCAATCACAAGAAAATCATATGATTCTCAAAGCTGGGAGTTGTTCCTGGACCTACAGCCTGCTTCTCTTTTCCTTTCTGTTTGAACTAGCCAGATTTGTTTCTGTTGTCTAACATTGAACTCTAATTGATTCAAGGGGCTTATTTTTTTACCCAAGTTGATAGTTCAGAGACAGAACATTTTTGGTGTTAGTTCAACAAATTGATGATGTAAGGGTCCCCTCTGTGAGGCTCTTGATTTTTCCACATGGTCACAAGATGGCTGCTGTACCTCCAGCCATCACATCCATTTTCCAGGGAAAATAAAAAAAAGAGATAAAAAAGTACACTCCACATTTTTTCGTCAAAAGATTAAAGATTTTCCTAGGAGCACAACTCATCAGACTTCTCTTTTCATTTCATGGCCAGATATGTGTCACACTATCATAGCTAGCTGAAAGGTGACTAGAGAGAAGGGTTGTGAATAGAGGTTATGTCAACTAGTCAGCAAAGTCTGGCACATGATCTAGTACATTTTTCTGACTACTACATAGAATTTCATAGTGCACCCACCACATTTATTTGTTTTCTTAGGGATGGTCACCTAGGTTTCTTCCAATTTCCTGTCATTATATCCTTGTACAGAACTGCTTTTGGACCTGTGAGAGAGAGTCTCAATTACTGGGTCACAAATGTTTATTAATTAGGAACTTTCAGATTGTAGTCTATTTTGCAGAGTTTCTTTGCATCTTTGCCAACACTTGTGATTATTTAGACTTCTAGCTTTTGCTAATCTGATGGTGCTATCAAATATATCACTATTTTACAGTTATATATAATCTGTAAGGTGATTATTTTCCCAGTATCTGATATTGTTGCTGTTGTTGTTAGGTGCCATCGAGTCAGGACCAACTCATAGCAACCCTATGCACAACACAATGAAACACTGCCCAGTCCTGGGCCAACCTGACAATCATTGCTACACTGAGCCCATTTCTGCTGGCACTGTGCCTTTTCATCTTGTTGGGGGTCTTCCTCTTTTTCTCCAACCCTCCACTTTACCAAACATGATATCTTTCTCCAGGAACTGGTCCCTCCTGATAATATGTCTAAAGTATGAGAGACCAAGTCTGGCCATCCTGGCTTCCAAGGAGCACTCTGGCTGTACTTATTCCAACACAGGCCTGTTTGTTTATTTGGCAGTGCATGGAACTTTCAATATTCTCCTCCAACAACATTAACTCAAATGCATCAGTTCTTCTACAGTCTTCCTTATACACTGTCCAACTTTCACGTATATATGAGGTTATTGAAAATAACATGGCTCGGGTCTAGTGCACCTTAGGCCTCAAACTGACAACTTTGCTCTTCAACACTTTAAAGAAGTCTTATGCAGTAGATCTACCTAATGCAATACATCCTTTGATTTCTTGACTGCTGCTTCTATGTGTATTGATGGTTGATACAAGCAAAATGAATCTTTGACAACTTCAATCTTTTCTCCATTTATATGAATGTTGTTTATTGGGCCAGTAGTGAGGGATTTTTTTTCATTTACATTGAGATGCAACAACAACATTGAGATGCAACCCATATGGAAGGTTGTGGACTTTGATCTTCATTAGTGAGTATTTTAAGTCCTCTTCACTTTCAGCAAGCAAGGTTGTATCATCAGCATATAGTAGGTTGTTAATGAGTCATGATGCCATATTTTTCTTTATATAATCCAGCTTCTCAGAATATTTGCTTAGCATACAGACTGAATAAACATAATGAAAGAATACAACCCTGGTGCATACCTTTCCTAATTTTAAACCA